GCAATGATCTTCTTTGACCCAATCTACTAGGAATTTGTATGGAGTTGCTTCTCTCAGCACAGCAGTCTTTTATCAATAATGCTGGCATGAACGCATGGAATGAATGATGGCCAATGACACCCCGGCCTGTATCAGCAATGATGTGGCCAGCATCAGGCCAGGGCAGTGATTGTCCCTCTGTACTCAGCACTGGTGAGTCCTGTGTTCAATTTTGGACTGTTTCATTACAAGAAGGACACTGAGATCCTGAAGCATGTCCAGAGAAGGGCAGTGGAGCTGGGGAAGGGTCTGGAGCACAAGGAGGAGGAGCAGCTGAGGGAGCTGGGGTTGTTTAGTCTAAAGAAAAAAGGGCTCAGGAATGGTCTCATTGCTGTCTGTAACTACCTGGAAGGAGGTTGTTGTGAGGTGGGAGTCAGTTTCCTCCAGATAAATGACAAGAAGAGAAGAAAAGTTGTGCCAAGGAAAGGTATTGGTTATTTTAAAAAATTTCTTCATGAAAAGGATTGTCAAGCACTGGAACAAGCTTCCTGGGGAACTGGTGGAATCACTATCCCTGGAAGTGCTCAAAAGGCATGTGGATGTGGCTCTTGGGGCCAGTGGCAAACACAGTGGTGCTGGGTTAATGGTTGGACTCTTAGAGGTGTTTTTCAGCCTCAGGGATTCTATGATTTTATGATTGAAAACTGTCTTTCAATAAACAGACAACAGGTCCATCAGGATGGCAGATGAGAGCCCTCTCCAAGAACAATCTATCTTTCCTCTATCAAAACCAGAATTCACGTCACTCCAAAAGTAAGGTGTTTTCTTTTATTCTTGCTTCATTAAAATTAACTGTAGACCTGGGCTGTATTTCTTGTCCAGAACAATTTGCACTATGTCACTTTCTTGTTTAGTTTAAACAACTGGCAGTAATAAAACACGAGCAGATGAATATGTTACTATGGTTCCTGTTTGTAGTGCAGAATAACAGACACAGAAAAAGAGCACTGAGACAGGAAGGTCATACTCTGCCAAGAAGATCTATCTTTTAATTCAGATTTTGGTATTTGTCAAGTTGATCTTTCTGATCATCCTTTGTTGGATGTGCAAATTAAATTATGTGATTCTATCTCAAATAACATTTTTTGCTTTCCAAGTGTTATATGTCTAAACACATAAAGAAGAGCATTCCAGATTCATGGGATGCAGCAGATACAACCTCATTCAAACTACCTTAGAAATGAAAAATCTGTCTGGCTCATGGCTTTGACTGCTACCTGTGACACAGAAAGAAGAAAAGCACCAAGTGTTCTCACAGTTTTTAATTTATCATTAGTGTCTCTCCAGAGACACTAAACACAATTCCTTCATGATGTCTCCACCTGACAGGTTGTTTTTGGTATAAGAAGTACAGCAGGTGCTAGAAGAGCTCAGCAATGAGAAGATGCTTTACTGGTGAATATAAAAATGAAAGGCCTTTTTCCCTCGGTCTGTCCAAAACAGACTTCATTGTAGCAGGTGTGCGGTCCTTGGATGCATTTTTGGACACATGGAGCACATGTTTGGACTGAAATGATGCAGCAGACAGAAGTCAAGCCATGGATTTACCTTTTTTCCCCCTATTCACACAGATTGTTACTAATTTTATCCAAGTCATCTGCCTACAAAGAGATCACTTAAGCCAAAGGAAGGAAGAAAAATGACATTTTTTTCTTAGTAAGAAATCGTGCACAAATAAGAAGTGTTTGACTTTTGATATAATTTAGTTCTATTATATAATATAAATATACTAGCAAAATATAAAAAATGTCCCCTTCAATTGTAGCACACAACTTCTACCAACAACTTCTACCAAGAACCTTTGGTCAAAAGAGAGCAACTCAGTAAAGAAATCTCATTCTTTCTCAGTTCTGATAGCCAAGGATACATCAAAATTGCCTTTGTTGTGAATAGTGTTTATTTTTTTGTTTTTCCCAGATGAGATATTGCAAATCCTTTCTGCCCTTTCCCCCAGGCATTGATCTGCCTTATCAGCACTACTTCAGTCATATCAGACAGTCAGAGACACCCAGGAAGAAAAAAGAAGTTATCTAAAGAAGTTTCTTACTTTCCTTCTTGCTTTACTTCATTCTCTTTCTTACTCTAAGTAAACTCTAAGTAAAAAAAAAAAAAAAAAAAGCATGCCTTTCCCTCTGATAAAAGTTCACAGACAGCAAGGAGACAAGCTGGTCTACTGCAGCACTTGTTGAGAACAAGCAATGACCCAGCATTATTCTCTGCCAGAACTGACAATTCTGTGCCAGATGGACTATCTGATCTCTAACTGTCTCTATAAGAAAGACCATGTCAATATGTTGATAAAAGAGGGCGAGATAGATTTGCTTGTTAATACTCTTGAAGGTCACAGGCAAAACTGAAATGATAAGCAAAAGAAATTTGACTGCTCTGCAAGCAGCTCTCAAGCATTTATTGGCTAAACTTACTGAGTGGCCCTGTCATCTCTCACTGTAGAACCTTTCATGCTCCTCTATTCCTTTGTTTGAGTGACTTTACAGACTAGCCATGCATGCATATGAATGCAATTTTTAAAATAGTTTCTACACAAGCATGCTGAAATCAGCTGCTAAAGAATGTGATCAGTCTGGTTTTTTTCCAAGCTTCCTAAGAGTCATACCATGAATTAAGTCTGTTTCTCAGAACAGAATAGCCAGTGTTTCTTTGTCTAATGAGATGGAGATGCAATCCGGAAATAAAATTCCCGTTGTCTCTGCAGATGTACAGAAGCTAGCTGGTGCTACAAATGTGCATTCAATTAAGTCAAAGAATGTTGATCAACTGTGCCTGGCAAATATTGCAAGCATCAAACCACACTGCAAATATATGGTAAATGAGCATTTTGGCAGGTAAACACAAGATTGTGAGTCTTCCATTCTTTGTCAGTTCTGTGCTGGGACCATAAAAGACCCTGCCATACAGGATGCAATGACGCATTAGAAACTTTGCGTATTTCCACAGATGTCTATAACATGGCCATGAAAAATTCGCCAACACCTAAAGGAATTAAAACCAAACTAGAGAGATGAGAGAAGATAAACTCAGGTTGGGGTAGAGAGAATTATTTAATCTTTAAATTTTAATAAAAGAGATACTAGAACAACCTTTTTTTCTAATTGCAATCTTTAGGGACAACAAAGGGTGGCTCTTTAAACCATCATTACTCTTGTTCTTACTGTTTCACTAGGATAACTGAGGTGAAAACTACAGAGGGTGGATGAAAGGGAATTCTTGGGAGAAACAGTAGCAAGGGATTTTCCAATTTGATAAAAAGCAATAAAAATCCTCATTTTGATGATGCACAGCTCAACTGGAAATGCCTAACAAAGCAAAGAAGTCTATCTTTATTTTGGCCATGTTTGAGTTGTGATGACTCTTCTACAACATTTCTTGTAACTTAGTCTTTACTATAAAGGGAGAAAGGTATATAAAAAAAAAGTAAAAAATAATAAAATTCATTCAGTAACAAGTAAAAAAACAGAGGTACACAACAGTGCACTTTGGCAAACTTAACTTTGTATTTGAAGCTCTAGATATAGAAAAATAAGTACATTAGGAGCTGAGATGTTGTATAACTGAGAAAAATTACTTTCAAAGTATTAACAGCATGAAGAAATCTGACGACTTCTAAGAAAACTAGCTCTTGAAAGAGAGTAAAGGCCAACCTGAGCTAAATTAGAGCCTAACACCATTTATCTAGTGATTCAGAAAATGCCTTCCCTGCAGATTAATTTCTCCAGTTGGAAGAATTTTTTTGAACACGACCATTGAAAATGTTGTCTGCCTGAATACAGAAATAGAAACAGCTGGACAAACTCTGGAAATTAAGGTCTTCAGGTTAGAGATTAATCTTAGAGTTGCCCTAAAATGCCTCTAGCAAAAATCCTACAGCTGATAAAAGACTGGTATAATCATATCTGAGCCAATTTTCCTAGCCTGTGGCAGTACAGTGGGCAGATCAGGTTGAAGACGATGTTTCAGGTTCTAATGAGATTTAACTGAAAGGCTGCATCACCATCCCTCTAAAGTCAACATCCCTTCTGAGACTAATAATGAATGTTGCTTATGGCATTTCTTTACAGAGTGATAATTTTTTTTTTTCCAAAATATACCTCTGGAACTGCAGTCAGACCTATTTCAGCAAACATCGACTCTGACTTCAACACACAGAACCAACTGTGCAGCCCAGTCTGATTCAGACCTTACTCATCATTACTAGGGAGCCAAGTAACTGATTCTGTGTGATTCCTGATCTATTTCTGAATATTTCATAAGATCTGACATGCTTTGAAGGGGCAGAAGAAGATGGGATGGATCTTAATTAAACTCTGTGAAAATTTAATAACTTCATTTCTACTCTGTTGTTACATCCGCTTTTGCCCTTTGCAGTACTTGCTGCTGTTAATTTTGTCCTGAGAGCAGAGATTTGCCTCCAGAGAAGGTGCACATAGTCTAGAAGGAACCATTTGAAACTTATATGCTAGGGACTCACCCATCATTTGGAAGAAGATGAAAAGGTGTAAAGGCAGCTTGCTTTAACTGATTAACTGGTAACTTTGCAGCTGGTTAAGCTGGATACTTATTCAGGGCAGGGGTCATATACTTCTACTCTCTGGGTATTGTCTGATACACATTTACTCTTATACAAATAAAATTAATGAACCATTGCAGCAGTAACCAACTTGATCTTCCCAGGTGATTTTTAAACAACTGATTAGTGTATATCACAGAAGGAAATTATTTAAAACAAAATAAAACCCCTCCACAATCTGTCTTCAGTAATTTATTTTCCGGTGCCCATGGTGTCTTTTCCTTGCCCATGCCAACTAGTGCTACCACCTCTAGAACCACCAGAGGCTGAGTGCGGCAGGGTAATACCCAGCAAGAGAAAAGGCCGCAACCTCCTGTCTCAAACCCATTTAACATAACAGAGAAGAGTTTCATTTCACACAGCGTGGGTTACTCACGGCTCAGCTTCGATGCTCTGGTCAGCAGCAATGTAGTTGGCAGGGATGTAGCCCGTGAGCTTGCGGCCAGGACAGACTGACCACTCTGGCAGGAGGAGCTTGGCATACCACCACCCCTCATGGGATGCATTCAGCACTTCCAGCTTATCCCCAGCTCTGAAGCTCAAGTCATCCTCAGTGCGAGCGTCATAATCGAAAAGCGCCACAAATTTGCAAATGTTTGCTAGCTCCTGGCCAGGCAGTGGAGGTAAAGGTTTCTCTTTTATCTTACTCTCTATGTCCTTCTGTCCTGCTTGAGGGTCAGGTTTTATCACAGCAAGGTTGGCGAAGACTTGGCCTCCTTTGTCTTCCTGCTCACCGTTTCTCCCAAATAAGCAGGGAAGGTAAGGCTTCAAACAGGCACAGTGCTTCCGGAAGAAGTTTCCCATCTTGATACTTTGTTGCTTCCTCTGCTTCTGCTTTTCTTTTGCTTTTCCTCGTTGCAAGACCCTTAGACCAATTTTTGCACCATCCACATATTAGCTTTTTGTGGACTTCTTCTCCCCCTTCTCCTTTGGCATAAAATGAAACGACTCTTGGCACGGCTGGAAGCTCCTCTCTGGGTCCCACGGAGAGCTCATTACAGACGGCTCCCAATTAGGGAGTGAAACCTAAGCATTCAAGTGCCAGCACACGTATGGAGGGAATTTTTCACTTCCTCTTCAGAAAAAGGAAAGCAACACAACAGCTGTGCTGGGCTGAGCTCTGAGAACAACGGCAAAGTGTGAGCCTCTTCTGTTACAGCACAACAATAAAGCCAGAACATGTAAATAAGGGAGGCTTTTCAATTCCTTCTGCTCGGGACTGGTGTTTTCTTATCTCAGATGTGGTCTGGTCATATGATCAGCGGTGAATGTCTGTCTTGGCAATGATTAACCAAACTGACCTGCCTGATTCCCCAGCAGTCTGACGTGGACAGCTTGAATGAATATTTCTTTTTGCTTCCCGGTTTGCACTGGTTTCAGTTCGCAGTGGGAAGCCTTTGCTCGCCTGAGACTGGCAGACGCCCTCACCAGGAGTGCACCTGTGGCTCCTGCCCTCGCTCACACCCAGGCGCATTCCCTGCCAAGTATCCGCCCCTCAAACAAACCCTATAGGGTTTTTTTTATTTTTTTTTTATTTTTTTCAGCTGGGTTGGGCACATTTTACAAGGAAAACCAAATTCATATGGCTTACAGTAATAAAGCAGTATATTTTAAGGCATTCCTTATTCTGCATTTTAAGGAAACCAAGGCACTAGCCAAAAAGCATTTCTCTATGTGGTTGGCTGATTAAATCAACCCTGCATAAAAATAATGGCTGTCAGCTTGTAAACAATGACACTGCATTGACCAGTACATTCCCATTTCTAAAGTATCTCTAATCCAGCAAACAGACCAAGCATGGGTGTCTGGATACTGTGTGGCTGTGGCAAAGCAGGCTGAAGGGTTGGCCGTCCTATCACAGTGGTGCAATCCAAGCTTTGTAACTCCTGGAAATCACCACAGCCGGGGGGACACAGAATGATTGGAACAGGAGCAGGAAGCACAGAAGATACAGCAATAGCCTGTCTGCACACTGTGGTGGCATGTCAGTAAGAGACAAACTCTTACAGATTGGAGTCTCTTTATTGAGATCAATCAAAACTCACACATGGACTTATAATTTCCTGGTGATTAAAAAAACAGAGGCCTATATTTTTCTTTTCTTTTTTCTTCTTTCCTTTTTTTTTTTTTTTTTTTTTTATTTTACTAGAAAGAAAACACCTAAGTAACAGAAACCAAAGTCACTTGCTTTCATCATGTCTCTCATTCATTTGAGTGAGGAGACCAGTGGCAGAGGCAGTAGTATACTGACAAACTAAAGACTGTGGGACAACTAAAAGATATCACCATTGAAAGTGATAATGTTAGTATCAGGTGCATCTCCACTGAAGAGGAATGGGGAACTGCTTACACACATTTCTGCAACACTGCAAAAGAAATTAAATAAAGGAAGAAGTACCATACACATAAGTCACCACTAAACCTCATCATCTTTAGGGTCTGATTAAAAAAAGGTATGCTGATTTGGCAGATTATGATAATCTTATTTCATTTCTGAAGCACCACTGGAGATGATTTTTCACCAACGGTTATTACCACATAATAGTAAGAACACAGATATCCAAGAGATATTTGCTTTTCCTTGGTGTGAATAACACTATCCAAAGGAAAGAAAAGCCTATATTGATAAAGAAACTATCCTCATTAGTCTTGTTTAAAGAATTAATTACATTTAGTGAAATCAAAGAATATTAGAAACTACTACTAAGTAATCTCACAATTTTCAGTTTGCATATTTGATTAACTTTTCCTGTAACGGTTTTTGGTTCTGGCAACTTGGGCATTAATTTGACAAAGCTTTGCAAACTCATTTACTGCCCAGAATAGTTTCATCATGACAACAAAGCTGTTTGCATCATACAGAATCAAGCTGTACAATGCACAACCGTTTTCAGGACCAAGTCCCACCTTTACACTCAGGAACCAATATACAAACACATTAGAAATCACACTGCATTCCCTGAGACCACTCAGATAAGTATTTATAACTGTAGCTACAACAGGGCTTAAGCCTACAAATAGTTGTGCATATGACTACCTTATCTCAAAGAGCTCCAGACATTAAATTCGTCTTCTCCCTCAATCTGTGTCCCTGCTTGGCTTTAGAAGAACAGAAAGACTTTTTCTGGAAGTGATCAATAACTATAAATCAGATTCTTGTCATCCTGATCCTCAGGACCAGTTCTATGTATTAACCAAGTAGACTTTAACAAATAGCCATTAAAATCATTAATCAGATTTAAAAGACTTCTCAAAAAGACAGAAGATTGGAGTTGCTGAGAACCACTGAGCAGATTTCCCATCCTATGTGGGACAGGACAGTAACTGAGCCGTGGTGGCCACACTGCAGCAACTTCTGCAAGGGTCTTTGTTCCCATCCTGGTGACTTTATTGAGGATTCACTGCATTTTTGAAAATGAAGAAGTTCTCTTAATGGTTAAGAGACTATATAATTTTATCACAGGCAAGAAAAGAAAATTAGCATGTAATAAAAATGTTCTTGCTGGCTTTACAGAAAAAAATAAAATCTGATAAATCCCATAATCCTGATTTTCATATTCACAATTTGGAACAAATGAGGGTAATCATATATATTCAGGAGCTTTTCAAGATAAACTGCTGTCCAAGTCCTCTGCATTTGTATTACATATAATTTAATAGAATAATCTTTGCATTACCTGTTCCTTGGCTAAACATTTCTTTTGCCTTGGTTCCCACTATATTCTCACTTTTTTTGCAAAATGAGACCAAAGAGTTCTGCATTGCTCTTTGGCCTTCTGTATCTTTATTTAATTTCTTTACAAGTCTGAATATCAGAGCAGAAATTGTTCAAAACAATAAGCCACTGGAGGCAGAGTGACTGCAAAAGACTTAATCAGAGATATTGAATAATTTTATTGGCAAAAGTGCTTTAAGAAGAATGCAAGGGTCTCACCTCCTTCATGTAGCCAGCACTAGCTAGCAAAAAAGATGAATTTATTATAACCAGAATGGCACATTTACAGTATGAATACTGAAATTTAGTATTCTGGTCCATATATTACAATATTGTAAGTAATTTCTTAAAATATGCAACACCTTGAAACAAAGATTGATCATTTAAAAGCTGTGTCTGACAGGACTATGCAAACTTAGGCTTTAGAAAATAGAGCAAATCTATTCAATCAAGCAGTACCTTCCCCCATCATGCTAGGTAATTTCCCATTGCTTTTAATGTATATTTCCTTGCTCCATAAAGAAAAGAGTGTACACTGACGCTATAGGTTTGAGGATGACAGATATCTGAAGTTATTTTTACATTCTATACATTGCCTATAAAGTCCAGTATAAGTAAGACTCTTGCAAGGAGCTTTGCACCTGCTTAAGCAATTAATTTGAAGTTCTCTAAATCCATTAAATCAAATTCTAATTAACTTAGAGTCAATATCCCTCTAGGCCTTATTCTACAAAACAATCCCATTTAAACGTGGTGGTGAAACATATTTTTCTTAGTTGACTGAATGGACAGAAGAATAATGTGCTAACATTACATCCTTTGGTAAACTTAGTACAAAACTAATCTGCAACACTGACATTAATTGATCTTAGAATCAGGTCCTGCTCTGCATGAATTAGGTATCAGGCTTAATATACAACTTAAGTTGTATAAAATAAGTACAGATAAGATTTGAATCCACAATATTTCAAAAGCTTTGTTTTGATAGAAGTTCTATTTTTGCTACATGCCTTCAAAAATTATTTTGTATGAGTTTGAATTACAGATATTTCCATCAATTATTGGTTTGTATGTGCTCTGTATGGAACTATTGGCATGAATACATAAAATTTATGAGTTTCAGAAAAAATGAACCCTCCTTCAACACACAAATATGCTGGTTCATATTTCAGAGACAAGGAGCGCACATTACTGAGACTCAGTCTTCAGTACTGATGATACATGGTGTTTGAAACCATTCCCCTACGTCATGCAGAGAAGAATTGTAGTCTGAACAGTTCTGCTGGGAAAAAAGGAATATTCCAAGGCAATATCTATCAACAGTTTTTTAATGAAATATAAGTCAGTTGAAATTGGAAATTGAAAAAGACAGTGGTTTTACTTAATGAGATCACAACAGAAACAAACATTTTCATTCATAATTGTGTTGAATTCTGTAAAAGGAAATAAAAAACTCCATATAAGGAAATGAGAAATTAAGGTATAAAATACAAGAATTATAATTAAATAATCTATGATGCCTGTTGCATCACTTTCCATACAGTATAATCTTTTTCAAGACAGAAGCTATACTGCTGTATTTAATGTATGCTAGTTTAAATATTTAACTTTATTACTTTTCTTATAAAAACTTCATAATGCATTATGATAAAGCAAGTCAAACTTTTCAGCAAAGTAAAATATTCAAATAATGTCATCTTTAAAGAAGTTAGCAGAAAACCAAAAGCATATTGCTTTAAATCTGTTCTTGGGGAATAATTTAAATGACTATTTTAAAGTTGTGTAGTTTTTTTAAGGTAACAAACTGAAATAAAGCACAGTGATTTTTTTTATTACAGCTGTCTTTTCAGCTGTATTTCTTTCCATTTGCACATTAAAATGGAACACATTACTACCACTTTGTAGCTTTTTTATATTCCTTTTAATCAGCACTTCCATTTTGTTTCTCTAATTTGCAAATTGCCTTTTTTTTCAGTGAAAATAAATTATGTGCGTAATTTTACTCTTGGCAAAATTGTTTACTCTTATTGATTAATCACTTTCCTGGTTTTGTCTATTATCTTGAACCATAAATCCACAAAGACGTAGA